AAATCAGAGTAAGGTAAGGGCCTAGAGACCCTGAAAGATTCTATACCTGCCATGCACTACATCAACAGGACAAATGTTTTCACAGTAACACTGCCAGGGAAAACATATGATTTGGGGTATAAGAATTATAGACAGGCCAGCTGTGGTGGCTCATGCCTATAATCCTAGCACTTTGGGAGTCTGAGGTGGGCGGATGACCTGAGGCCAGAAGTTTGAGACCAGCTTGGCCAACATGGTAAAATCCTGTCTCTACTAAAAATACAAAAATTAGCCAGTTGTGGTGACACATGCCCATAATCCCAGCTACTCAGCAGGCTAAAGCAGAGAATCACTTGAACTTGGGAGGTGGAGGCTGCAGTGACCTGAGATCATGCCATTGCACTCCAGCTTGAGTGACAGAGCAAGACTCCATCTCAAAAGACCATGGAAGTGGTACCTCTACAAGTCTGCAAAAAAAAAAAAAAAAAAAAAAAAAAACACACACAGAATTATAGACAGACAAATACTGGCTCTCCTCTTCCCTGTGGGATATTCCCTTTCTTTCTCTCCTGAACTCTTTATAGTTCTATTTCTGTCTTTCTAAATTAAATTGGAGGCCAGGTGTGGTGGTTCACACTCGTAATCCCAGTACTTTAGGAGGCCACAGTGGGCAGATCACTTGAGCTCAGGAGTTCAAGACCAGCCTGGGCAACACAGTGAAACCCTGTCTTTACAAAAAAATGAGCTGTGGCACTATGCCTGTAGTCCCAGCTACTCAGGAGGCTAAGGCAGGAGGATCACCTCAACTGCCTGGGGGTGTTGAGGCTGCAGTTAGTCGTGATTACGTCACTGCACTCCAGCCTGGGTGACGGAGTGAGACCCTGTCTCAAAAATTAATTAATAAATCCAAGTGGTATACAAGTTTTCCACCCATTCCATGTCATTCAAGAATGTATTCTGGCTGGGCACGGTGGCTCACGCTCGTAATCCCAGCACTTTGGGAGGCCGAGGTGGGTGGATCACAAGGTCAGGAGTTCTAGACCAGCCTGGCCAACATGGTGAAACCCCGTCTCTACTAAAACTATAAAAATTAGCTGGGTGTGGTGGCAGGTGACTGTAATTTCAACTACTCAGGAGACTGAGGCAAGAGAATCACTTGAACCCGGGAGGCAGAGGTTGCAGTAAGCCAAGATCACTCCATCACTCCATTGCACTCCAGCCTTGGCGACAGAGCAAGACTCCATCTCTTAAAAAAAAAAAGAGTATTCTAAGGGAGGGTACAAACGGCTTGTTCCTGATTCAAGGAGTAATAAATAGCCATTGCACATTTTAGGTTGTTTTTTTTTTTTTTTTTTTTTTTGAGACGAAGTCTTGCTCTGTTACCCAGGCTGGAATGCAGTGACATGATCTCAGCTTACTGCAACCTCTGCCTCCCGGGCTCAAGCGATTCTTCTGCCTCAGCCTCCCGAGTACTTGGGACTACAGGCGCCCACCACCATGCCCAGCTAATTTTTGTATTTTTAGTAGAGACAGTGTTTCGCCATATTGGCCAGGCTGGTCTCGAACACCTGACCTTGTGATCCACCTGACTCGGTCTTCCAAAGTGCTGGGATTACAGTGAGCCACTGTGCCCAGCCTGATCATTTTTAAAAAAATAAAACAATCAAATTTTTCATCTATAAAACCAGGATAATGACAGAATCTACTTTATTGAATTTTGGTGAGTACCTGCCATTGATAAGGTATGTAAAGTCCCAGCAAAGTGCCTGACACTTAGAAAGCAGCCAATAAAGATTGGGTATTGTTATAATTTATATACCTCTTTTCTTCCCTATAAGACTGTGAGCAACTTGAGAGCAAGAATCTTGCCCCTGGTGTCTGTTTTGAGCCTGTTTTCTGTATGTAAAATGGATATCTTTACACTATCTACTACATAGAATTGTACCAAACAAAATAACATATCTAAAATACTTAGCACCAGCATAAAATGCTCAATAAACAGGAACTGAAAAGCATCCTGCCTAGGTGACAGACCTGTGACTGCCAGCTCCTCCTAGTTGGGCAGGCCTAAGTTAGTTACTCAACCTCAGTTTCCTCATTCCCAGCAAGAATGAGGATACATATAACCCATATTCAGTATCTAATGCAGTATCCGGCAACCAGTGATTGCTCAGTAGATAGGAGGCCAGCTCCCCTTCCCATAGCTTCTACTTTTCCCCTCAAAGTTACCGGTTCTGGGCAGGCAGATGGCCTGCAACCTGGCAAATTGGGTGGAAACAGACCCTGCGGTGAGAATTTCCCAAATTTGCCTTCGCATCTATCTCCAATCCTCCAGCCTCTACTAGGACGTCGTGCAGGGACTCTGGGCTCCTATGGAGCCTACTCAGTTAAACTGCTCAGAGCGAACTCCGCCTGAGCCTCCGCCTCTCCCACCCCCGAACCTCGCCGCCGGCCACGCCCCGCTCCGCCCCGGTCCTCCGCCGCACGCGCTTCCTTGCGCCCCCCGCCCCTCCCTGTAAGGTTCGCGGAGAAAAGAAGAGACCCAAAGTCAGGCAAGCAGGTTCAATTAACCCCATAATAATCAAACGAGGGGTTTATATGGGGTGAGAGGGGCCTAAGGGAGTTTCAGGACTGAGATAATCTATCAGCTTGTAACAGGCACAGAGATAGTTTGTTACCTTGTGACAGACATGCAATACCTTATCCTGTGACTTTTGTGGCGGCAGTTTATTTTAAAAAAACAGGATTTTACAGGTATGTGTAAAGCGGAAATTTACAAGTATGGATAACAAACACTTGTTTTCCCTGTCCTCCCCGAGCTGCCCAGATGGCTGTAATCAGGCTTTGCTTAATTGTAGCACCCTAGATCGGCGTTCAGGAATGCAGCTGCAGGGCAATCAGTGAGAAGAGTCAGCTGGCGCGGAGGGGGTTTCCCGAGGCAGCTCGTCTCTAACACTCCCCGAACCCTATTTTTCAACCTTCTTCAGACCCCAATCCCTCTCGCCTGTGAATCTCCAACACTGTTCCCTTCTCTGTCCCCGACTTCGCCTCCATCACCTCCAGGTGTCCCCCAGACTCCTCCCGTCTTACGCCTCCAGGCCCTGCCGGTCCCCCGACGCCCTCTCATGCCCCAGCGTCCCACCTGCACTTTCCGCCTCTTCAACGCCGCCGCGTCCAGCCAGACGCCGCAGGCCTCCTCTTCGGGGTCTGTCCGCCTCATGGTCGTGGAGGAGAGTAAGCCAGCAGGACGCCGGCGCGGGCCCCCGACGCCTCAGGGAACAACAGTACTGCAGCAGCCAACGTTCGGATCTCGCGCCAACGCTGGGGGCGGGACTACGCCGCTGCCGCCCCGGGCGCTGGTCCCGCCCCCTTCTCTTTACCCCGCCCACCGCTAACTTTTGTTGCGGGTCCTAGAGTGCGTGCTGTGTCTTTCCCTGCGCCAAGAAGTGCGTGTTCTTTCTGATCTGCTCATTCAAGACCGGATTCCGGAAGCTGCTGTGTGAACGGTTCTCAACAGCCTCAGAAATGTGCATGTTCTTTTTGCTGCATTGAAAATTTCTTACAGTAAATATAATAACTACCCCGGGTTTAGGACTTTGCTCTTGTCATCCCTGAATCTTCGTGATCATCCCAAGAAGGAAGCTGCGGAGCGGAGATCAGGCCCGCCGACCCCACACCGGGGGTCCTCGACCTAAATGGTTACCGACACTCGAGGGTACGAACTACTTCGGTAATTTTTTTTTTAATGTAAGGGTAACTACGAGGCCACATGGAAGAGGATTTTGAAGAAGTTAAAATTTGGTGTCAAGAGGCTTTCAGTCCTGCTTTCACCGTTTACTGTGCCGGATTTTAAAGAGGGATCAAAGGAGGTTTGCGAAAGTACTTTGTGAATTTAGAAAACCCCTTGGAAATGCAAAAATGCTGGCACCTCACCCATCCTTCCGTTCCTAACCACAATCTCCATAGATGAAATATGTGTATATTATATGTAATTTTTACATATTGTATATTTTAATATATCAAAAACATTTTTAATTTTTTTTTTGAAAGGGTCAGAAGCTCAGCCACCTCCTGCCCAGTGTACCGCAGATTGGCCAGGAGCCTGAGCCATCTCTGCAGCCAGAGCCTGTCTTCACGGTGGACAGAGCCCTCTCACTCTGTCACCCAGGCTGGAGTAACAATGGCACAATCTCAGCTCACTGCAACCTCCTAGGCTCACAAGATCCTCCCACCTCAGCCTCCCAAGTAGCTGGGACTACAGGTGTGTGCCACCACGCCCAGCTAGTTTTTGTGTTTTTAGTAGAAATGGGTTTTTGCCATGTTGGTCAGGCTGGTCTCAAATTTCTGCCCTCAAGTGATCCACCTGCCTCAGACTCCCAAAGTGCTGGGATTACAGGTGTAAACCACCACACCTGGCCTATATCAAAATATTTATTTATATACACATATTTTACATGTGTGTATGCCTCATAAGGTCCTCCATGATATGTTAGCAGTGAAATGATATTTCTAATTAATGTGGGTTTTCTTCTTATCTTCCTAATTTTCCTTCATTGTATATATATTGCTGTGTACTATGGAAAAAGCAATATTAGAAGAGTTAACATAAAATACTCCTTTGGAGTGCATGTGAGGGGCCTCAATATGTGTGATGGAGTGTACACACCCTTGCCTCCTCCACTAAAAAGCAAACAAACAAGAAATCCTTCTTAATTGAAGGAAAAGACAAACAAAAAAAAAGAAAATCTTTGTCAGATTATAAAGTGGGATTACGTATATTTTAAACACATTACTTCTAAAACTTTAGTAATAAAACTGCCCCCTACTCTCTTGCCAAACAAATTTTGTATATATAGATATGGTATCTAAGGCCCCAATCCCATCCTCCAGCAAAGATAAACAAGAACTGCTCCCTCCACCCTGTGTCCACTCCCAGGGGCCCCAGCTTCCTTCAGAAAACCTCTTCCAGTAGTGTGAGCCGGGACCCCTCCCTGAAACAGGAGACAGAAAACAAAGAGGCAGCTACTGTCACACTTTATTGCATCTAGGCCATAATCCAGACCACCCAAGCCCCAGCCCTTTTTCCTTCCACACCTCTGGGTCTCTGCACAGGTTTCCCTCTGCCTGGAATGCCCTCCTGTTCTCCATCTGCAAACTCCTATTCACACTCCCCAACCCAAGACCCTGAGGTCTGGTTATTCCTTCCTCAGCGCTTCCCTTGACAGTTCGTTCTGATATCAAAGCCTTTGTCTGCCGGGCACGGTGGCTCATGCCTGTAATCCCAGCACTTTGAGAGGCCTAGGCAGGCAGATCACCTGAGGTCAGGAGTCTGAGACCAGCCTGACCAACATGGAGAAAGCCCATCTCTACTAAAAATACAAAAAATTAGCTGGGCATGGTTATGCATGCCTGTAATCCCAGCTACTCAGGAGACTCAGGGAGGAGAATCACTTGAACCTAGAAGGTGGAAATTCTGTGAGCCGAGATTGCACTATTGCACTCCAACCTGTGCAACAAGAGGGAAATTCCATCTCAAAAAAAAAAAAAAAAGCCTTTGTCATCTTGCATTGATCCACAGGGTCCAGCAGTCACCTGCCTCTGAGCAGAGGCCCAGGAAACACTGAATGGATAAATGAATTCTTAAAAATAGAACTAGGAGAGAAGCTGGGAACAGGCTGTGTAGGACACAGAAGCCACAGCTAGAAGATCTGGGACTCACTGTCTGGGATGGTGACTGAAGGGGTATAAGCACTGGAGGGACCCATTTGTATCTGGCACAGTCTATTACCTTGGGGTCTCTCTGCAGCTCCAACACCTGTAGCTGGGCTTCAAGGGGCAGTAAGATCCTGCATCTATTTTGGGCCTGCCCCGTCTGTATCCAGCAATGAAATCTGAGTAGAGGTGGGTTGCCAAGGCCTCCCCTGCCTCAGCTCAAATCTGACTCTGGCCTAAGTTTTACCTCCGGCCCAGACAATCTAGATGCCCCAATCCTCACTAAGTAATCCCAGTGAGTAGCAGTGGAGGAGCAAACTGGAGTGGCCCACACTTTTAACTCTTTCCTTCTCCCAGCACAAGGAGCTGGGCAGGCCCAGGAGTGGACCCCAGCAGCTCCCAGCCAATCCCTAAATCCAAGAATTGGTCAGTGACGCCCTTGGCAGTTGAGTTGTTTATAGAGTCACCGTGGGCCAGACACAAACAACTTTACCAGGACTTGCTTCCACCTGGAGCCAAGCGCAGACCCCTGTCCCCCCACTCTACCTCCCCCGCTACCAGATGCCCCCCCCTTCACTTGGTCTTCTGATCAAGTTTGCGCTGTACCAGCTGGCTCAGGAGAAATGCAGTGAGGACGCTGCTGCCCACCGTGAGCAGGAAGAGGCCAAAGAAGTTGTGAGGCCAGTGCATGTGCAGAGGCTCATAGATGGGCCGTCGGGCCTGATAGTCCAGTGCCACAGCCTCCAGCTGAGCCAACGTGCACAGCACCAAGAAGATGTGGAAAAGTTGGTGGCCCTGCCCAAAGACATGGCAGCTGCCGGGGAACCAGCGCTCGGGCATGAAGGTAGAGAAGAAAGCAGCAGCCAGCAGAAAGAAGACCACCTGGCACTTGTGGTAGAGAAGAGCTGGGTCATCCGTGGCAGGGTCAGAGGACACCAAGATACGATGCACCACAGGACTGATGTCCAGCGCGTAGGCCAGGACTGAGGGCACCTCCTGGCATATGCGGCCCAGCAGGCCTGGTTTCTGGATGTACTTGTTATAGCAAGAGCCAATGCAGGAAAGCCAGGCGAGAAAGGCAGCCATGGGCAGAAAAACGGCCTGCACCTGAGCATGCCAGGTGGGCTCGATAGCATAGTAGAAGTGTGCCAAGGCGCTGCCAAACTGGTACACAGCCACCCCCACATAGTCCAGGAAGAAGAAGCTGTAATGCCAGAACTCGGACTTGGCCTGCAGGAGGTGAGCCAAGGCACTGAAGGAGAGGTAGGTGAAAGAGGCGAGGACAATGATGAAGAGGGGCAGGGCATGTGGGTCTCCCCAGAAGTCCACGGTCCCCACAAAGAGAGCCAGCCGCAACAGCAGCACCAGGGCCGCCAGCAGGTGGGTCCAGACATTCACAGCCTCGTTGTGCTGCTGGAACAGCGTGCGGAAGTAGAAGCGCCAGGTCCGATGCAGCGGCCGGTAACCCACATAGATATAGGGCTTCCAGAAGAGTGGTGGCACTTCGGCCTGGTTCACTGTGAAGACAGGCTCTGGCTGCAGAGACGGCTGAGGCTCCTGGATGACATGCCGCAGTCTGGGCAGGAGGTAGCCGAGCTTCTGGGCCATGGCCATGGCCATGGCTGTGGGCCCGGGCAGGGAGCTGGGAGAGAGGCCAGAGCAAAGTCAGGGGCCTGGTGTCCTCACCCCCACGAGCAGCAGCTGGGGACTCTGATGCCCAGATCTTACTCCCTCCTCTCTGACACCCTTATCCTTACACTGGGTTTAAGAACAGAAGACTCATCCTATGGAATTCCTCATCTCTGACCTCATGAGAGCAAGGATCCCTGACGTGTCCCAGGTACCTAGAACTGTGTCTGACACATAGTCGGTGCTCAATAAATGTTTGAGGAATGTATTAATTAATTAATAAGGCTCCCTGCCTCATTAATTTTCTTTTTGGTCCAGGCTATACCCAGCGGCACTATCTGTTTTCTCTCCTAAAGAACAGATCTGGCTGTGTGAAACACGGGAGGGGTCAGGCTCTTTGAGCCTCTGTGTTCATGCCACCATTAGTGTTCATCTGATGGCAAGAATGACCTTGCTAACAGACCCACTGCCTGTGTAGCTCCTTGAGAGTGGCTAGTGACCCTCCATTACCCGGCATGACCTAAGTGACCCTCCATTTAGGTCATTTGCCCCTACTGACCCTCTATTATCCAGCATGACCTAAATGACCCTCCATTTAGGTCATTTGCCCCTACTGACCCTCTATTATCCGGCATGACCTAAATGACCCTCCATTTAGGTCATTTGCCCCTACTGACCCTCTATTATCCAGCATGACCTGGTCCCTGCTACCTTCTCCAGTCTTGTTTTGCAACCACAGGGCACTTCAAATCCAGTCCCAGCCCCACCAACCCCTGGACTGCTCTTTCACATGTCTGTAGCTTTGCACAAGCCATTCCCTCTGCCTGAGACATTTTCCTCATCTTCCTACCATGGCAAACCCCTATTCATCCCTCAAAAGCTCATTTCTTGGCTACACATGAGGCCTCACTCCTGTAATCCCAGAGCTTTGAGAGGCCAAAGCAGGAGGATTGCTTGAGGCCAGGAGTTGAAGACCAGCCTGGGCAACATAGTGAGCTACTATCTCTACAAAAAAGTTAGCCAGGTGTGGTGTCACGTGCCTGCAATCCTAGCTGTTGGGGAGGCTGAGGCAGGAGGATCGCTTGAGCCCAGGAATTCGACATACAGTGAACTATGATCACACTACTGCACTCAAGCCTGATCTCAAGGGAGATCCTGTCTCTTAAAAAAACAAACAGGCCGGGCGTGGTGGCTCACGCCTGTAATCCAAGCACTTTGGAGGCCAAGGCAGGCGGATCACCTGAGGTCGGGAGTTCAAGACCAGCCTGACCAACATGGTGAAACCCCGTCTTAAAAAATAATAAAAAAATAAATAACGTATTTCTTCTATGATGCTTTCTCTGGCCTCCTGAACCTCCTATGATGACCCCTCCACTTGAGTGCCTATCAGACCATCATTTGATGATCTGATTACAACACTTCTCATGATTGTTCATGTGAGCTCATCAAGGGTAGGCAGTTTGTCTCATTATTTAGTGAATCCCTGGTGCTTAGCAAGTAGCTGGCACTCAATGTTTGCTGAATGAAAGAACAACATGACACCATTCTAATAACACTTCATCCCTTCCAGGCCCAACTCAAGACTGCTTTTTTCCTGAAAGTCCCCAGTTTAACAACTGATGAACCACACCCCCACTCTCAAAGTCCCCTCTCCAACCCCTTCCCCAACTGCCCATGACTGCTAATTCCAAATAAATCTAATAGAACCCCTGACCCTGGCATTCAAGGCCCACATAACTTGCTCCCACTACCCTTATTCCCCACCTAACCCCAATGTCACACTCTGTGCCACCTTCCTTTCCCTGCACTGAATTCCTTTAAGGCCAGTACAAGCTGCCACCTCTGGGGCCTCCTTACTGCTCCCCCAACCCCACTTTCCGCTGACCTATGATGAGTTACACAGTTTAACTTTGATTCATTCATTTAGCAAACATTTACTAAGCCCTTCTTTGCTTCAGATCCTGTGCTGGATGGGACAAGGAAAAGAGTGGAAGATTTGATCCCTGCCCTCAGGAATGTCATGATCTGGCAGAAGATATAGAAACAAAAGCAAATAACAGCAAGTGCTCACACAGCACTTGCCAGAAGCTTCCCAACAACCCTGAGAAGTAGACAATCATTATTCCCATTTTCCAGATAAGGAAACTGAGGCACAGAGAAGTTAAGTGCCTTGCCCACCCACCTACCCAGGAAGTAGCAGGTGGCAGAGGCATGCTCTGAATTCAAGTCTGTTTTTTTTTGTTTTTTGTTTTTTTTTTGAGGTAGAGTTTTGCTCTCATCACCCAGGCTGGAGTGCAATGGCACAATCTCGGCTCACTGCAACCTCCACCTGCCGGATTCACACAATTCTCTTGTCTCTTCCTCCCGAGTAGCTGGGATTACAGGCGCCTGCCATCACACCTGGCTAATTTTTGTATTTTTAGTAGAGATGGTGCTTTACCACATTGACCAGGCTGGTCTCGAACTCCTGACTTCAGGTGATCCACACGCTTTGGCTTCCTAAAGTGCTGCGATTACAGGCATGAGCCCAGCCTTGTTTTGTTTTTAGATGGGGTCTTGTTCTGTCCCCCAGGCTGGAGTACAGTGGTATAATCACAGCTCACTACAGCCTTGACCTCATGGGCTCAAGCAATCTTCCTATCAGCCTCCCAAGTGGCTGGAACTACAGGTATATGTTACCATGCCCAGCTGATTTTTAAAATGTATTTTTACTTTATTGTAGAGTCAGGGTCTCACTTTGCTGCCCAGGATGGTCTTGAACTCCTGGCCTCAAGCGATCCTCCCACTCGGCCTCCCAAAGTGCTGGGATTACAGGTGTGAGCCACTGTGCTCTTAACCAGTACCATCAACTGTACTTTGCAACACAAGGTGGCAAGGGCTATTTATCATTTCATAATTATATGCTGTTTTACGTGGCATCAATTGTATAATTCAGGCTTACCATCATTCACTGAGTCATTCATTAACTCAAATATTTATTGAAAACCTGCCAAACAATCTCTCCCTGCCTGCCAAATAAATTCCCTCCAAGCTTATTTATTGGACTCAGTGTTCAGGTGTTTTATTTGTTGGACTCATTTGTTCATCAGATATCTATTGTGACTACCTTTGCACCAGTCACCGGACAAGGAAAAGAGATTCAGGCAGGATAAAGCATTCATGTTCTCTGCCACCAGCTACGCTGTGATCACCCCTGAGACCACTCAAATAAGTCACACATAGTCCAAGTAAATGCATGGTGCTTGCTATGCAATGGTAGCATCAAGACGACCCCATCCCCCAAGACCACATCTTCCGAGTCTGATTTGCATTCCTAAGCTCCTCGTGCATTAGGATTCTGGCATCACCCCTGCTCCCCAGCTTTCCTAGTCCAGTGGGGAAACATGAGTCTTGACACTGCCGCATAGAGGCTACTACTTAGGACAACAGGGGTGTGCAGGATGCTTCTATTCCCCAGCAAGCCTGGCACAGGGTAGATTTAGGAAGCAGACATTGCTGCTACACTAATTCATGGGGCCACTTCCATCCAGAGCACAAGGAACCCCTGGCCAGCCTTGCTGGTTGGGGAGCCACTACTGAATTTCTCCATTTCCCCAAAAGACTGGGCTTCAACCTCAACAATCTGGCCCCTACTCTTGTCCACAATTTTGTCTTCCCAATTCAGAACCTTGGAGGGCCAGAAAAGACCTCTGGAAGCACCTTGTGGGGCTCTCTTGTTTTACATTTAGGAAAGCAGAGCCCAGACACTGGAAGGCCTTCCCCAGGAGTCCTCCCACCAGCAAGGTTTCTATTCCACTACGGTGGCAAAGACCAGGGAATGAAGACGATGGATGTGCCCTGTGGACACCTAGCTCCTGGGTCCTTGTGATCTGATAAGTCTGGTCCTGTGCTCCATATCCCACTCTTGGAACTTCCCAAGGTATAACAGCACATTAAAGACTCTAAAAAGGGCTGGACAGGATGGCTCATGCCTGTAATCCCAGCACTTTGGGAGGCTGAGGCAGGCAGATCACCGGAGACCAGGAGTTCGAGACCAGCTTGGGCAACATGGTGAAACCCCGTCTCTACGAAAAAATTAAAAAATTAGCCAGGCACGGCGATATGCACCTGTATTTCCAGCTACCTGGGTAGCTGGGGCAGGAGGGACCCTTGAGCCTGGGACATGGAGGCTGCCAGGAGCCAAGACTGTACCACTGTACTCCAGCCTAGGTGACAGAGAGTCATCCTGTCTCAAAAAAAAGCTCTAAGAAGTCCTGCAGCAAAGAATTCGGCTTAGCTTTGTTGAGTCAACATTTGCCAAGCTTATGTGACCATGGATTCCTTCCCTGGTAATAATTATATTATAAAGCCAGTTGAGGACAGGTGTGGTGGCTCACGCCTGTAATCCCAGCACTTTGGGAGGCCAAGGTGGGCAGATCACGAGGTCAAGAGATTGAGACCATCCTGGCCAACGTGGTGAAACCCTGTCTCTACTAAAACTATAAAAATTAGCCGGGCGTGGTGACACTCGCCTGTATTCCCAGCTACTTGGGAGGCTGAGAGAGGAGAATCACTTGAACCCAGGAGGCGGAGGTTGCAGTAAGCCGAGATCGTGCCGCTGCACTCAGCCTAACAGAGTTAGACTCTGTCTCAAAAAAAAAAAAAAAAAAAGCCTGTTGAAATGTAGTAATCATTTACTATATGCCCACTCTCTAAAGTCCTGTTGCAATTAACCCTCATAACTGGCCTGTGAGGTAGGTATTGTTCTGCCCATTTTGTTGTGGATAGTAAAACTCAGAGAAGTTAAAAGTTCCCAGCTGGGTGTAGTGGCTCACACCTATAATCCCACCATACTGGGAGGCCGAGGTGGGCAGATCACCTGAGGTCAGGAGTTTGAGACCAGCCTGGCCAACATGGTGAAACCCTGTGTCTACTAAAAATACAAAAATTAGTTGGGCATGGTGGTGCATGCTTCTAATCCTAGCTACTGAGGAGGCTGAGACAGGAGGCAGGAGAATTGATTGAGCCCAGGGAGCTGAGATTGCAGTGAGCTGAGATCACACCACCGCACTCCAGCCTGGGTGACAAAGTGAGACTCTGTCTCACACACATACACAAAAAACTCCTTAACCAAGGTTGGAGGGTGGGGAGGAAGCAGATGGGGAGTGAGAGAGGTGGAGCCAGGACTGGGCTGCAGATGCTTGCAGACACTCTGCTGCTGCCCTGCTCCAGGCACTCTTGACTACACCCCACAGAACAACTTTGCAAAATCCTGGTCTAAAGCAGGCAACCAGGCCCTTTCTTGTAAATTACTTTCTTAGGCTTCTAGCAATTCAGTCTCCCTCAGTTGCTGGCTACCTGCTTGCTCCTGATCTTCTCCCAGGGAGGCCCACACGGCCACCTCCTCAGGTGAGTGACAGTGCTTGCTTCTGCCTCCCTTCCACAGACATAATGGGCCCTAAGGACAGAACCCAGAGGCAACATGCTAGGATGAGAGGGGCTCAGCCTCCCTATTTTCTTTAGACAGCAGCTAAAGGCCTCATTCTATCTAAATAGGTCTATTTTCAGAATTAGTTTCCACCACCTGACTCCATGGAAAGGGACTCTGATCCAGGGGAAAGGAAAAAGCAGGGGCAAGGGTCAAGCTTGAGCCAGAGGGATGAGGATGGGTATCCAGAGGTCACCATTAGGGCATCCTCTGAGTGATCGGCCTCTGAGTCGTGTGCCCACTAGGCTGCTGGGCCCTGTCTATTCAGGTGGCCCAGCCCAGCCCACCTCCATGGGCCCCCTCTAAGTCTGGCAAATTGCACTGGGTACCTGAGAGTTTTCTCGAGCCTGGGGGTTGGTAACCTCTACTGTGGGACTGGGCAAGTTCACCAGATGCCGGGCACTGGATGGCACTTCCACAGATGAGGGGCACTGGGGCGGGGCTTCTAGGGACTGGGGGTGTCTTGTGTGATGTCACCAGAGGGTGGGGCTAAAGACAACCTCCCATACCTCTCCTCCCCCACTTCACTACTCCCATAGTGGTGAAATCCATGCTAAACTGTGTGCCTTCTTAGCCAGGCCTCCGTTGCAGAAAGCAGCTCACCATTCACCTCTGGGTGACATATAGGGAGGGAAACTGAGGGCCAGCTGAAAAGTTTGACTTACCTAAGATCACACAGCAAGGCAAAGGCAAAGCCGGGTGACTAGGGCCTGGATGTCAGGGAAACTTCGGTTTGATGGATGTCAGGCAAACTTCGGTGGCTTCTGTCTACTACTCAGTGGGAATCAGAATGGATGGAGGTTAGGAATAAAGGAAAAAGCAGACACTATAAAAGCACACAGAGGAGATGGACTTCAGATTCAGACAAACCAGGTTTGAATCCTGATTCCACAATATGCTAGCTGTATGACCTTAGATAAGTGACTCACCTTCTCCGATCCTTAGCTCCCTCATGGGAATTACAATATTATCTACCTCATAGGTTGCTGCAAAGATTAAGTTTATTCGAACAAAGTTTTATCTTCATTTAGGGACTCAACAAATGATCACAATTATTATTAATAATAATAGTAGTAATCTTTGCAATATCCCCAGCCTGAAAGATTTGCTTAGAGTTTTCTTAAAAACTGTCCTCTCTTAGCCCTCAATAGCTAGTTCCATTGGATTTGGGGGCCTCAGGAAGTTCGCTGTGTTCTTAAACATTTACCTTATCCCTGGGGGTGTAGACCAGGGAAATTTGGCTAGAGTGTGGACTTCTGAGGACACTGACCTTACTTTATCATTAAACTGTTCTCAGCAAAGACCATTCAGAGTAACTGTTCTGAATTCACAGAGCCCTTGGCCGGGCGTGGTAGCTCACGTCTGTAATCCAAGCACTTTGGAGGCCAAGGCGGGTGGATCACCTGAGGTCAGGAGTTCAAGACCAGCCTGACCAACATGGTGAAACCCCATCTTAAAAAAAAAAAAAAGAGGCCGGGCGCGGTGGCTCAAGCCTGTAATCCCAGCACTTTGGGAGGCCGAGGCGGGTGGATCACGAGGTCAAGAGATCAAGACCATCCTGGTAACATGGTGAAACCCCGTCTCTACTAAAAATACAAAAAATTAGCTGGGCATGGTGGCGCGTGCCTGTAGTCCCAGCTACTCAGGAGGCTGAGGCAGGAGAATTGCCTGAACCCAGGAGGCGGAGGTTGCGGTGAGCCGAGATCACGCCATTGCACTCCAGCCTGGGTAACAAGAGCAAAAACTCCGTCTCAAAAAAAAAAAAAAAAAGAATTCGCAGAGCCCTGAAAATTGGTGCTTACTCACAGGCTCAAGAGATGTGGCTGAGAAGTAACAGGCCCAGGGGAAGGGGCCTCAACTCCAGCAGCCCCAGCAGCCCCATTGGAGAGTGGGAGGGCACAAGAGGGTGAGCCAAATTGGCTGGTAATCCGAAAGGCACGCAGTGTAGCCTGGGTATGTCTTGCAGGAGGTTTGGGAGGCGTCTGGGTTGGCAGAACCTCAGAAGTGAAATCTCCAGGGTTCCAGTGGGAGTGCCCTGTCAGTCTAAGCTGCTCCTTCTTCCCTTCCCCTCCCCTCCCCTCTACTTCCCCACCTCTCCCAGTTCATATTCCTCAACTCAAGGTCAGCCCTCCTCACCTCCCTCCTCAACTGGAGGCTTGCAAGCCCTAGCCTGCTCTCCAAGGATACACACTGTCAAAGGCTCCCATAACACCCTTGGGGCAAACAGACCAGGCTGTGGGGAGGTGGTAGAAAATGGGCTATGAAGAGGGAGAGCCCTGGGTTACCCCCGTCTCACAGATTTCACTCAGTGTTTACTATATGCCAGCCTCAATGCCATCGAGGCATTCTGTGTGCTGGGGCACCCAGAAAATGAAGCAGACAGGCTGCCTGCCCCGATGGGCTCACCCATACAAATGCCCATGGGGCCTAGGAAGATCCAGCCTGGAGGGAAGCCAGCAGGTGGTGACCCTGGAGAATTGGAGAAGGCTGCTGCCCTGCGGGTGGGCATCCTCCACTAATCTCCGGCAGGCTGACTTCAAGAGAAGCCAGAAGTCTCATTTTTACATGAGTATGAAATTTTGGATCTGGAATTCATCTGCTGTGTGACTTTTCAAGAGTCCCTCAACCTCCCTGATCTTGTTTCCTCATTAGAATCAGAGGATTAAAATAGCTGCCTCTTGGGTTCTTGTGGAAGCAAAACAAAGCCACAGATGCCAGGTGTTGGCTCTGGCACAGTGCTAGCTCTGCTATTTCTGTGGGATTCTCGTCCTGACTCAGCCACTCAATCCCTGTGTAACCTTTGACAAGTCCCTTCTTCTCTTGGCCCTGTTTAAATTCACCAGTGACTTGTAAGGGCCCTCAGGCCCTGGGACAGTCCAAGAATATTTACTTTAGGGATCTGATGTGCCAGGCGCTGGAGCTTCCTCGGTTGACAGAGCCATTTAAACCACTGCCCTCATAGAAAAGTCCAGGGAATTCATACCCAATGGTAATACTTCAGGATTTTTTTTTTTTTTTTTTTGAGACAGGGTCATGCTCTGTTGCCCAGGCTAGAGTGCAGAGGTACAAACACAGCGCACTTCAGCCTCAACCTCCAGGCTCCAGTGATCCTTCTGCTTCAGCCTCTTGAGTAGTTAGGATCACACATGCACACCACCATGCCTATTTTTTTTTAATTATGTGTAGAGAAAAGGTCTTGCTACGTTGCCCAGGCTGGTCTCGAACTTCTGGTCTCAAGTGATCCTCCCACCTCGGCCTCCCAAAGTGTTGGGATTACAGGCGTGAGCCACAGTGCCCAACCAACACCTCAATATATTAATACCCTGCCCAAATGGACCTTATAGCTCAGCTAAATAACACCTATTATAAGCATTATTTGGTTACAACTCCACTTCCTCTTTTGCCTCCTTCTTGGCATGCAAAACATTGTTGCCTTTCTGTGCCCTGATTGTTCCGGCACATTCTCTTAAAGACAACTTTTTCTCAACATGGAATAGTCTAACCCCATTAGACACAAAAAATAAGGCCAGACCAATGTTAATACTGGGGCTGTCGGAGGAAAACTCTCTTTTTTTTTTTTTTTGAGACGGAGTTTCGCTCTCGTTACCCAGGCTGGAATGCAATGGCGCGATCTCGGCT